CGACCGTTGCTGGCGTAATGCAAGTCCTTGCATTTTCTCTAACTGCCTCCTGAGCGGGCTTGTTGAGGATGTCGGTCAGCGTATTTGTCAGCCAAGCCTCAAGTAGTTTCTTCACCGCTGGTGGCGCCTCTTCCGATGTGGACGTAGATGCTCCTTTACCACGGGATGTTGTGATACTGCTGTGTGGGAGGGGCGACCCACTTCTCCAGGGAGAGGCATTAGGCGTTATGTCTTCGCCTTCTGTTTCGGAGACCTCATTGATGGTGTTTAAGAGGTTGGTAGTGAGATCGGCCACTGCCTTTATTCTTTCTTCTTCATTGCCTGCCATGTCAGATCCGTGTGTACAAGGAAGAAGGAGTTTTTTTTTTTTTGTGAACTGTGCTAGTTATAGATCTAGAAGAAACTAAAAACTTAACTAGTCAATCCCCACAGATGGCGCCAAATTGTTTGACGAAAAAATACAAACCTTTGATTAAACTAATTAATTTTATATAAAAAGAGATTAAACCTAGTTAATAATAATGTCCCCAGATTTATAACCAGTCAACTCAAATAAAATCCGACAGTGTTGGTGGAGGATTAAATGCTAGGTACATTCAATGTTTCAAGACCATTAATGATAGAAGAGTCTCAGGCAATAAATAATAATAAATGGCATTAACGTAAATAAGGAGAATAATTCATCCAATATAGAATGGAGTGGACGATTCTTCCTTTTGACAGTGATGAGTGATAGGCAAATGCTATAACATTGAAACTATTCTCGGATCTAACGGAAAAGTATGGAATAATATATAATCGAATCTTCTCAGAAAGGTAATGTTTATATCTTTTTCAGAGAGAAAGTCTTCTTCTCAAAAAGTGTTCTTATCAGAGAATGTTACATACCTCTTTCCCCCTATCTCTTTTTCTATTTATATGGGACATACCCTATTCAACCCTAAAAGTACAGACACCAAGAATATTCAATGGAATATTCTCTTGAATATCCTATTGCAAAAACTAGCTCTTAGCATTGTCCTTGATGCTCGACCTCAGTCATTATTGACTGCTCGGCTATGAGCCCCGTTATCTACTAGTCGACCTCGACCATATCGCTTTCCACGATATCGCTCCATGCAAAATTCCACTGAGACAAATTTTGACCTATATAGAATTGTTAGTATCCGTTTGGACACATCTGATTATGATGGATCAATATTAACTTTTCTTCTTCTTCTTATAGTTGATGTTCTATATCTCCAGAAGGTGAGATCTCATGCATTCTCTTTAAGCTCGCTTTTTTTAAATAAATAAAAAATCCAATTTGCTTCTTGTTTCTTGCTTATGGTATATATAATAGAAAGAATTACAAGAAAATATACATGACTTCACACCATAACAAAAAATAGCTCATATTTTTAAGTTTTACCCGACCTAGCCCATATTGTACATATTTTGAAAGCACTAGCAAATTCAAAATTTGTGTTCTTACAACCATTGCTTCTAAAAGCTATAGAGTTAAATTTGTGTTCTCACAACCATTGCTTTCACTCTCTCTTCTTCTCACATCTTCTACATATGCTTCAAGGGGCCGTGTATTTTCTACTCCCCCTCCCCCCTGTGTCACCTGATTGCAACGTAAGAAAATTGAAGAGTAGAAATCCATCATTGAAGGCCATTCAAAGCTTTGTTTTCGAAAATAGATTTTTTTGAGTTTGTTAGTTGTTTGGATTGAGTGTTGTTCCAATTGATTGAAAATATCAAAATAAGTTCAAAATTTAAATTTAAAGTGATTTGGAGTAGATTTGAGCAAGATTTGAGTTAAATTTCAGAAAAGACGCAAGGAAGAAGACGAAATCAGTTTTTTTGTATAATTATGTATAATCTTATATAATAGTGTATATGAGTGTATAAACACATCTTATACAATATTATACACCTTTATACAAGCGTCTGTAGACGAACTTCTTCCACGATTTTTAATTACAATTCTTGTTCAAAACCAGTCCAAATCTCCATTAAATGACTTCAAATTTTATATACAACCTTCTTATACTATTTCTAATAAGTCTAAATAACACCCCACTCCAAATTTCTCACAAAATCAAATTCAAAATTTAAACCCACATATTTAAGCTTATTAAAAATCTAATTTTTACCACCCAAATGGATTTGGTTTGTTGAACTAATATTTGAGTTACAGTTATTGATTCGAAAATTAATTTAAAAGTTTGAGCAATCTTTTTTAAAAATTAAATAGTAATTTCGAGAACCTATTGGAGTTGGATGTTGAATCTTAGCCTATTATTTTTGGGCTAGTTGGTTGTAAATTGAAATGTGGGCTATAAAATTAAAAAGTATGGAGCCGAGTTGTTCTAGTATGAAATTTTCCCTATATAATATGGTTTGATTATAGTTTAGGTTTAATCTTGCATAGAAAATAGGTTGTTAAGCTTTAATTAAAAAATCTGCAGGCTATGCGTAACATAGGTGGTTGGACAAGACACGGACCAAGTAGCTTTTTAAAAAGTTGCATTTTAATGTAATTCTTTTTTTTTTTCCCTACACAAACACTAATTCAAAGTCGTTATTCTTTTATTTCATGATCTACATATATGTATATTCATATGATCTAATTTCCTATGTAATTTGTTAAATTTTGTTTCTTTGAGTCATAAGTCCTCCATCAGCTCATCTCCTTCCTTTCATCTCTATTTACATCTATAAGCTCAACATTAAGTATTGATCCACCTTTTTTAGCTTTTATAATTATAATTAATCATTTATGTTTGGTAAAATTAAAATTTGGGACTTTATCAGTTACGAATTTGTTACTTTGATATTCCTTTAACTTTGGTAATTAAGTTACACTCTAAGTTGGGTAGAATTATTCTAACAAGTTCGACGAATAAAATTAAAACTCTTCAATATGTTCAAGACATAAAAGAAATTAGAATTCAACGGAAGGTATTTGAGTTTAATGGAATTCATATTAAAAGGAAACCTAATTTATTTGTTGGTAGAATTCTGACTGAAATTAGAATTTTAAAGCTATTGCATTCAAAATACACTCCCCGTTTTTGGTTTGCATGCTTTTTTCTTTAATTAGAATATATATTTGAATTTGGAACTAGATACTTTTCAAATTACGAGAACAAATAAGTGCAAAAATCTAAGTACTATTAAATCACTTACCATGTGTATGCGAAAACGAAATAGTAAAAAAAAATCTAAATACATCTACTGATGATCGAAAACTTCTTCTTTTTTTTTCATTATTAAGTTAACTATATAGGATCAACAATCATCTGGTACATACATCTTTATTTTATAACTCAAAAATTTAACTTTTTAATATTATATTTATGCGATTTTTTATTTTAGAAAAAGGGTACACGCGCAATGCGCGTACGTATAAACTAGTCAATAAAAGAAGAGGGAGAATATTGCAGAGAAAAATATGGAATAAAACCACTCTATTTATAAGGAAAAAGTGACTCCCACAAAGCAACAAACTCTAAAATATAAACATTCACCTTAAATATAATTCTATTTATAACATTTTTTAACTATTTGTACAAGAACTCTTTCCATGCTATTGCTAGCTCGCAATCTTGCCGATGAATCTAAGCCAGTTTTGGCGATGAATAACATGGTGTTCCGAGCAGTTTACTCACCTCAACTATTCTATTGAATACTTGCAATCTTCCACTAGAACAAATACCAAATAACTTTATTCATCAATTAGCCTTTTTTATCTCTGCAAAGATTTCTTGATCTCCTGTGATTTTCACCCACTTCTTAGATGAACCAAACCTCTATTGTTAGAACAAAACGCCTTGTATTTATGCTTTTGATTATCAACCATGATATCAAGCACAGATAGCATTTTATACAGTCAAAAACCAACATCTATATATAAAGTCTCCCAGCAAATCTTAACGCATTTTCTTTCCCTTTTCTATTCCCTGTATTATAAAAACTTAGGTAAATAAGGAAAGACAATGAACAACGCGCAGCCAACCAGCCCAGTAGGTGGTAACTACAAGAACAATATCACAACTTGCTAGAAATAACGCCCTCAGATTACATCAGTTTAAGGCAATACATTGATCAGCTAACTACAACAAAGGAAATACTCGTGCAAGTACTCCAGAATACAGAAAAAGAAAAAGGAAATGTCCAACAAAACTTGGTTTCCAGGCCTCTAATGAAAAACCAATGCTTTGATGAAACAACAAAATCATGACCATAATAAAAAATGACAAGGCAAAGTCATTAATCATTTCAAACCCAATGCAAATGACAACTTAGGCCTGGATTTGTTCTTGCCCAACAATGTCATTTGCTTTGCACGCTCTTCCTCCTCCTCCTGTTTCTTCCTTCGCATAGCCTCTTCTTTCTGTCTTTGAAGCTCTTCCAGCTCCCTATAACGCTGCTCTTCCCTCATTTGCTGCTCCAAAGCTTCTCTTCTCTGAGCTTCTTCCACCTTTCGCCTCTTCTCTTCAAGCATTCTTTCCAACTCTTCTTTCTCTTTTCGAGCTTGTTCCTACATGAACAATAAAAAACGTCAGTTTTCACTGCTAATATTGGTTAAAATTCAATAAAAAAAATGTGGCCGCCGAGCAGGCACCGCCCACTCTTTGTAGCTTCCGGTTATTGCTTTCCTTTTATAATGGGATTATTAACAGACTAACCATTATAGCAGCTAATGATGGACGGAATGAGAACCATCACAGTGAGCGCACTACTTTCTTTTATGACAGGATGAAAATCTATATATCCTCAGAAGCACAAACATGGCAATTGAAACTATTACTCTGAGTCGTGCAATTTTTTATCTAGGGACATAACATGCTATTGCTAATATAAAGAAAGCGATTAAGACATAGGGGGGAACCAGCTATGTTAAGCAAAAAATGACTTGCCTCCTTTTGTTTTGCCTCAATAAGAGCAGCTTTCTTCTCTATTTCAAGTTGAGCAGAAACTTCAATGACAAGTTTCTTTCTACCTTCTTCTAATCGCCTACGGATTTCAAGCTTGATCTCCTCCGTGTTCAAGCTATCATCAACTTTTCTCTTAATTGCTTCTTCAACTCTTTTTGCAGTTTCTTCTTCTATTAATTTCAATTCTGCTTCCTCTTGACGCCTGAGAATAAGGAACAAAAGTTAAACATGGATAAACACTAATGGAGAGAGCAAACACTCGTTTTATTATGTTCCCCAGATTTATAAAATAAAGGAAAAACTGACTTTGCAAATTATTGCCCTTTTTTCCTCCTTAATCTATAACTAAAGGAACAACAGACTGACCTCCATGTTGACATATGTACTAAATATACATGTTATTGCTTTATAGCATACCTCTACCTGAATTCTGTCCAAACAAATGAGAATCAAAACTGGTGAACAGTAGATAAACGAGGCACCCAATTGATCATCAAAATTAATAAGTTGAACTATAGCAGTAACTTCCTTCAAATAAGCCTGTGGAGAAGAATGTCAAATAACCTGTGACAGTTACAAAGCTAATCACCAAATTCATGAAGCCTTACGGCAAAAGTAGAATTGTGAAAGGAAAAGTTTCCACTTCTCAAGTAGATGACCCAAATTGTCGACATGTCAGCTTAAATAGTCAGAAACAGATAGAGAAAGAAGCCTGAGAAATCCACAAGAGGTTTGAAGCAAATAGCTATGTACTATCATCCATTTAGACTAAGAATGACCGAAGCAAATCTTGTCAAATGTTTCTTATTACCGTGTACATTCATGATTATGCCTGTCTATTAACTTTGTAAGGCTAGGTATGAAAATATCATGTTTTAGCAAAATACACGTAGCATCACATTTAGCCTTGCAGTAATCACAGCTGTGGATGTAATAAAGGACAGCGAAGACCAGCAGCAAGGCAGAATAACAGAACAAAGATCAAGATGTCAAGGTTGCCTTTTTTTTTTTATAAGGATGTCAAGGTTGCCTTCTCTCTTTCTTTATCAGTCATAAATAGTTAGCAACAGCGGAACCAATTAAAAGCAGAACTTATTACATGCAGCACTCTTTGCTGTATGTTGGTTTTGCTTCATGGTGATCCAGCTGCATTCTTTGCATTTATGTTGCCTTATAACATGTACTATAGCAATTTGCAATCCACTTGCAACATAGAAAGATTCAACTTCATCAATACTAGAGCCATCCCCCTATTATGAGATATAAAAAGGCAAGAAGAAGAGTGTAATGAAACCCAGATCAGCAAGCATAGCTAAAGAGCTCCCACAAGCAGTACTTATTTTTATATCTTCACCTTCTGGGGATATTGATTCATGAAAACTCTCCACTCCAGGAGGAATGTTACTGTCTTTATGGTGAATTAGATGGATAGGGAAGTTAATAAATGTAAAGCATAAAAGCTTTAAACTATCTTGCTACATTAAACAGTAGATACACAATTAACACAACAAGAATTCATATTAGACCACATTCCACAAATATCTACTACTCAAGACTCCAAGACAATTTATTTTAGAGCTGAGCTTTCAATAACAACAAAAATCCTCTCATCTTAAACAGCAGGAGTTAATACATTCCACAACCCAATCCTACTTCTACCTTATTAGCAGGCCCTTAACAAAATCTTTCAATTATGGACCTGAATGACATTCTGAGTCGTAGACGTCTAAAGGTCAATCCATCAGGTCTAATCAGAAAAAACATCCAATGTCCACACTGTAAGCATTTAAGGATCATTGTCGAAAACTAAAGGATCAGTGTCCTTCCGGTCAGCATTTCAAAACAAATTGTCCATTTATTCATGATTAGTTTCAGGAAAACAGTACAGAAACTAGAGGTGTATGATTCAAAGTTGAAAGTGTATCAAAGAACTTTAAAACTAGGGGTAGATTCTCAAAGTAAAAGCATAGCTTGCTCCTAGATAAGAAAGAGATAGAAAGGGCAGAAAATGAAAAGATTACGTATACAGTTATACCTTTTCTTCTCCTCTTCCTCAATTCTAATTTTTTCACTGACATCCTTTTGCTCTTTCGATCCAATACTTGAAGCAGGTGATTTACCAATAGGAGACAATGATATACTCCTACTTCTTTGTCTCCTATAGTTCCTTGGAGAGCGACTTTTATGTCGTCTGGTGGCTGGAGAACGACTTTTGCGGCGCCTTGGGGACAGTGAACGGCTTCGTCTCCTGTATAACAATGATTAACATTTAAGCAACAATATATATAGGCAGCAGAACACATAGAAACCCACAGATATACTAACCCATCTTCCAAATCAGTTAGATACTAAAGCATGTACAGTTACCTCATGAATTGCAAAGAATAAACTCGAGCTCCGTCTTTTATCATAGGGAACTGCTAATATCACAATTGAGCAACCAATGGACACTCATCGGCACCCATGACCTGCTTGCCTCCCATGAAGGGAAGCAATTACTTCTTTTAATTCCTCATTGAAGAGCATAGTTTGCACCGGATATTTCATTTAGGTTTCTATTTATTAACTCTACTCATTAGGATCATGCACATCTTCAGAATAGTAGACAATTTCCAAATGGCCGCCTGACCGAGGACTAAATTTGCAACTGAACAGCGACATCACCAGATTAGGATATGAGATAATACAAAGACAACCACAAGGATATCAACTATTGTGATTACAGGTATTGAAAACTTTTAGTAGCAGTAACAGTTCAATTTGACAAGGACATAACGTTTTCGTACACATCTGGTAACTCATATAATAGAAGGCTAGTGGACTTTGATGAGAAAATATCAATCTGAACAAAAATGAAGCTGATATTGGCAACAGAAGTACGAAACAAGTCCGCACCCCCCTATCTCCCTGCTTGGGAACAGAGCTAGATATCCAATGAAGGGAATCGAATATATGAAATGAAGAATAAAGGCATTTTATCGAAACAATGATTAACATTTGGAATTTGATCCATGACCAAATAGTAGATGGACAACTTTGCGGTATGCGAATACACCAATCACTAGAAGTTCCTCTTAAAGTCTTTAAGATACAAGCAAAAATGATCAATCATCAATCCTGCCACAGCTTAGACCAATGCTGTCACTATGAAGTCCTAAATTCATTTTTGAGCAACCGCGCAAGTCGATCCAACAAACGGTAGATAAATACCAATACTTTTTCAAGAATCAAACACGTAGACAATACCTGAACAAACTGTAATTGAATCAGCAAAACGTGAGCTTTATTAGAATAATAAAAAACAAATCCAAGTACAAAAAAACACAAAGATCAGAGATATAACACAAGGGCAAAATCCATATAAGTCAAATCCATATATCAATTAAGCAAATGGGTATCACCTGCTATAGGAATAAGGTGATCTGCTTCTATCTCTCCGGCTTCTGCGGCTATGTCTGCGTGCCACAGGCGAGGGTGACCGTGAATATCTCCTCCTATGTGCTGGCGACCTCGATCTAGACCTTGAAATATCCTTATCTCTACCCCTACCCATCTCTTCCTCAACTAGTTATATCAAACACAACAATTCACCTGCAATGATAAATTCCGTCAAAACCCACATGCTCTAAACAATTTCAAGAGCATATGTAAGCTCAGACCAATGGAATACAAAGAACAAGCATCACAGACTACAAGCCCAGAGGCCAAAACAATTTAAGAAAGAAAAAAAAAACTTTACGCCAATCAAAAAACAACGAACAAGAATCAAAACCCACATGCCCAAAACAATTTAAAAAACATGTATAACCTTAGACAAAATGAAAAACTAAAGTATCAAAAGTTATATGCTAAAAGTTGTATTGCAGTTGACAAGGCATAAACAAATATTCGCATAAATGGAAAGCCGAAAATTACCTATTACAACAACGAAAGGATAGATCTTCCCCGGTGCATAACGATTGAAATAGAATAAAACCCTAAAAAGTGGAATGAAGTGAAGAATAGAGAGGAGGAAGAGAGACTGACGGCAGAGAAATTTTCTGGATCTAATTATTTTCCTTTCTCTTTTGAGTTTTTAGACGATTGATTGATTTCAAGGTAGAAATACCAAAGGAGGGGCTTTGCTTAGTTTTGTCGTACGAAAAGCACCCACGGGAAATACAGAGAGATGAGGAATGGAGTCGCTTGCAAAGAAAGAGATGAGCGATGCCAATATTACCCAATATTCTTTCTCAAAATATAAAACGACAACGTTTATTTTTTCTTTTCTTTTTTAACATAATTAAAAGAAATTAAGAAAATTATTGAACTTGTATAATACCTAGACGAATTATGACTCTCTTCTTCGTTGATTTTGTCTTAATGGATAACAAAATACTCAATAATAAAGCAGTTAATTTGACTACTTGACCAAGCAACAATACTTTAATTCTGTTTAACAACGACTAGTGTTTTATCAAATAGCATTTCAATTGTTCGTTTGAATACTTTCTGCTTTCTTTTTTTCCGTTTTTGGATGCTTGGTTGCTCCTCGACACAACATCGAATTCAAGCTACCAAAATTTTGAACACGAGCAAATTGGTGAACAAATATCTTGATTCCGAAGGGAAATAAATTAAAAACCAGGGGCTCAAATTGGTCTTTACAAGGCGAAATGCAGCAATAGCCACTTTTAAGCTCACTATTTAAAATATATTTACAATTTACAATGTATTTAAAGATTAACTGAATATGAAAATTCAAAATTTAGTGTATTGAATTTTTGAACTGCTAATTTAAAATAAAATTCAAACTTCAAGACACAATTTTGAACTTTCTCTAGAATGCCAAGTCCTAATGTTCGAACAAAATTAGCTAATCTTTAAACACATTGTAAATTGTGAATATATTTTAAATATCATGCTTAAAAGTGGCCACCTAGTGTCATTTCCACCATCTTTTATCTCTATAATATTCAGATTTCATTCTCGACTGGATATATTTTGAAAGAGAGCCTTGACGTAACTGATAAAGTTGTTGCCATGTGACCAGGAGGTCACGGGTTCAAGCCGTGAAAACATCCTCTTGCAAAAATACAAACTAAGGCTACGTACAATAGATCCTTGTGATCCGGCCATTCCCCGGACGCTGCGCATAGCGGGAGCTTAATGCACATGGCTGCCCTTCACCGACATCGACCAAAACAAAGCCAACTACGGAAGTTTGATAGACAATTCGAAAAAAATAGTTGACAGTTAATGTAACATTGGTGATAACGATGTTACAAATACAAAAAAAAAAACAGGAATCTTTTGAACAGGCAATTCTTAGAAAAACACCAAAACTATAAATGATACACCAGCAAAGATAACTTAAGAAGCAAATCAACCATGAATAAGACCCCTTAGTTCCTCAAAATACTGTGGCTCGACAATAAAACCCTGTGACATCCCTCCCCAGTTCACAGAAACACATCTTTCTCGAGCAGCTTCAGGACCTCCTGCTGGTTGTTGAGTTTGGCCACATCGATCGGTGTCTTACCATCCAAGTTTTGGAGAGTTCTGCGCAAAAAAAAAGAAAATTTAGTAGACAGCATGAGAAAACAAAGCATAACACGACAAGTGGGCCGAAAATGATGATAATATATCAGCAGGATCAGAGAGAAGCAGGNAGGATCAGAGAGAAGCAAGACATACACAGCGGCTCCATTCTCTAGCAGCAGCGCGACACACTCCTTCCTACCATATCCAGCAGCATAGTGAAGAGCAGTATTCTTATTCTTGTCCAAGGCATCAACCTTTGCCCCAGCTTCCAGAAGAATCTGAGCACACTTCACCTGGAATACAATTAAAAACTACTTTAACTGAAAGAATATTCGAGAAACATTGGCTTACTTCAATGGGAATATACTCTAAAATAGCACTTAGCCAACCTTAAATCCCCTATCTCGTCAACGTGGAGATTTCCATTTAGATGGATGTTAAATAAAAAATCATATTCTTTTTAACTGATTGATGATTTCTAGTAACTGGTAACTGTGCCCCCCCTTCCCCAACCCAAAATAGTATATAATGCTTTCCTCGCACTCTGAATCTGAAGCAAACTGAGAGCTTTCCGGGACAGTTTTAAAAGGAAAAGAAACAATATATCATAACTCTATGCCAAACCCATGACATCAAGTGTGGCTAGACATCATTGCAGCCCAACTTTAAACATTGTCAAAACTGCTCAGCGATTCAGACTAAATTGCTAATGTAAACAAGCCCGAAAAGAAACTATACAATCAAAGTGAAAACTATACAATCTCAGGTTACAATGTCCAGAAGTAAAAGAAAAAAAGGTCAAAAATGAAAGTTCCAAAGTCCAAAATTCTGAGGGATAATTAATTGGTACTTTTAGAAAGAACTAATCCACCCGGAAATGAAGCTTCCAAGCTTTGTTAAATAAATAAGATAGCCAAATTGGATATCCTAGAATGCTGGATATATACAAAATGGCAAACTGGAACATATTTGTGTACATGAGTATACTACAGGTCCTAGATGAAGATCATATCGAACAACTTCTTACCTCGCCATATCCACAAGCAAAATGCAATGCCGTCCTTCCTTCTGAGTCTTCTTCGTCTTTATCAGCACCAGCAGTTAGTGCAGCCTTCAAGCCCTAAAATTCAAATACAAGCAATTATATATTTAGATGGACGATACCAAAGTCTCTAATGAGATCATAGAAACAATTCGACTTGAAAAAAAAAAGGAAAAATAGACATATTTACACAGAATACAAATGAATAGGATTGTTCATGCTGAAAAAGTACAAACAATGTTATATCACAGGGATCACACAGTACACGCGCACATAGTTGGCAGCGGGGTAATTTCAGACAAAAAGGGGAAGGAACTTTTGAACAAGAAAAAGGTTTCTGAACAAAATTGCACAGTGAAACATGACATCCCTACATTTAATCCTCAAAGTAAAAAGAAGTTGAATTAAAAAGTCACCTCTGCATCACCAACACTAGCACACTGGTGAACAACAGATTCATCTTCATTAGCCTCTTCGGTTTCATCGGTCCCAGGTATTGCGGAAGAGGTAGCACCCTCTCCCCCAGCAGCAAAACCCATTGCTTCACCAATTTTCTTCAGTGTTTCTTGATCATTCCAATACCTGAGAAAGGAAAGGGAAAACATTTGAATTATGCCCCAAAAAAGGACAAAATACGCCCAAGAAGGATTGAACATAACATTAAAAGAAAAAACGACAACAGATAGTAAAGATCAAGGACCAAAGTGCAGAACATAAAATTCAGCAAAGCTATAGTTATATGTGATCTACTAGTCAAAAGGTAGAGTATTACATAAAACTTTTTTTGATGAAATGAGTATTACAGTAAACTTGCAAACAAAGGAAAGTGCTTATAGTGCATATAGCATGCTGTAAGCGTCATAAAGCCAAAATGCTATAAAAGCACAGGATAGAACATAAAAACATATAACAATTTGAGATATTAACACTATAAGGGCAGCCAGGAGACGCTAAAACAAACTGATGGAACCCAAAATAAACTGTTATGTGCTCAGTGCTCAGTGACGTTCCATCTGAAACTCTCTTCAATAGGACTAACTGCAAACTTTTTCCTCTGTCTGCTGCTGCAGTAGACCAAATTGAAAGGAGATTCTTTTATGAAGAAGGATTCTCCTCTTGATTCCAGTCACAAATGATACTTAAACCAAGAATGGAAGATCTAGCCACAGAGCAAACTTGATTTCTAAGAATTCTTTATTTGTGAATATCAGGAAGCAATGTCCTATCTACTAACCAGATGTCTCGCACCCAACACACATACATATCCTGAAGCTTAGGAAGTCAAAATATGACATGTTCATTTTTATTACTTAAGCTTGCAGAAGAAAAGGTCTCCCACAAAATTAGTATTCGTGGCGGTCTGTTCATTTTAGATGGGAAATAGTGAAAAGGAATCTGCATACGTTCTGCAACATCAAAGGTTGGGATGTGGATAGATGCCTTTAAATTAGCTGGTGAAGTGTTCAACAAAGTACAGGATATCACTAAATTCTGGTCTGACCAGAAATGAGGAGAGAATAGTTAATGCAACCTAAATCATAACAAATAGGAGATAAGACCTCATCATTGCAGCTGGTCCCCCGCTCTCTATCTCTTCCAAAATCGGTTTCAGCGATGGGTCTTCTTTGATGCGTGCCATTCGTTCTTCAATTTGCTCCTTCTGAGCAGGGTTTGACAAACTCTCAAGCATGCCAGACATGGATGGATCCTGAAGTTTAAAGAGTAAAGAAATCATGTGCCTATCACTCAAAGAAGAATCATTTCTCATCAAGAAATCCAGGGCTCATACAACATTTACCTGCATCAACGCATTACCAAGCCGCTCAGCCATTGTCATAAATTGAGGATTTTGCATAACCTGTTGCATTGTGGAATAGTATTGTTGGCTATCAAAGTTGGGGACGCTCTCTTCGACTGCAGCACCTTGAAAGGTCTTCTGAAGCTGCTCCGCCATCTGATTAAATGCAGGATCTTTCGCTATCTGCTCCGCTAGTTCTTTGATACTTGGGTCCTACATCAGCCACAGCATAAAAGAATTATGCAGAATAAACCAAAATACAGTATACAAATAACTCAAAGTTTATCAATCAACAAAGAAATGACAAAAGCAAAGCAGCAAAATTACAATAAAATTGGTTTTCACCAAGTGTTAGGGCTTTGTTTTCTGTCAAAGTAGTTTGCGAATCCTCCACAGTTTCGTGTCTCAAGCACCATGTATTCAACCAAAAAGAGATTTAAATATGTAATTACTTTTTAGTCTACCTAATAACTCCTCCTTTGATCAATTACTATCCTATTAGTCAAAGGTAAGTAATTAACATCGTATGTTGGAGAAGATTTGTCAATGTGAAAAGAAATAGTCAACTAGAAGTCCAGGACACAAATAAATATTAGTATGAAAAAAAGTTTATCAACTGGAAGCCTGGAAAACAGCAAAACTTCTATTCTACATAGTAACATGTATGTACATTAAGTAGTCCAGACATGGCTGAGAAATCAAAGGGATTTTGAAGCCCAGCTCCAGCCGCAGCCGTAGAGGTTGTTCTCGCCTCTCCTGATGGTGCTTCTGTGGAGGAAGACTCAGAAGATTTTTTATTCTCAGATGCCCCAGACTTCTCATCTGAAAAACGAAAAAAAATTGAACTTTCTTCAGCAACTTAAAACTGTGTCTTCCACTTTGCAATTTCTCTTTCAAACAAAAGAATACACAATCAAGACAATTTTGTAGAGCACTCATTATCGGTTATGCCATAGAGTTTCATCTTTGGTAAGAGATACAACAAGCTGTAAAGCTCAGAATACCAGTAACGTAATACTTCCAAGTCATGAGAAAATATAAGATGCAGAAATCTAGACAAAACTGTGCCAAAACAATGACAGTAAGCAGGCAAAGGATGATATCAAATTTTAGCAAGATCAAAACATTCAAACATGTATTATGACCGGCCATCCTGATTCCTGACCAACAGATATATGAAAGTGCACACGTCCATAAATTTAGTTTCATAAAGGATTCATATAGTCAACCCCAACCAGTTTGGGACTGAGGGGTGGCTTATTGCATGCATGAATAATATATGGCCGTACTCAAGTTTCTTGGATAAGTCATATGCACCAATTAAGAAGGTAACATTATTGGAGGTTGCTTAATGGGTTCGATGTCCCATATATCTTGAAAATATGGCTTTTGAACTAAAACTTTATAGTACTTCCAGAACCTTTGGTATAAGCATCACTATATTTCCGCGCCTGCATCTAAGTGCTTTTTTAATCAATCATCACTAGCACGTTTTTAGCTTGAATTCTACAACATCCAAATACACCCTAGCTTTTCACATAACTAATTCTTCATTCACCATACATTAAGTAAAATTCGATTAAATAAGTAATATAGCTTATGCAAATATCAACATCCTACTTTCAGCCACATACTTCATCCCATTTCACCACTCTTGCTCATAATCTCAACAATTTTCCTCTTGGAATATCATCATTCAAGAATCCCTGTTTTGTGTTAGGTTCATACATATACTAAAACGGTAAAACCCACATACAGATACTAAAGCCCACATACAAATATGCACATTAAAAATTCAATATAAACATGAAGCAGCCATAATAGTGACGAAATATACCTGCTGATGCAGTAGGCAAAACTTTCTCTCCCTGAAAAAAATTGAACAGATAAATAAGTGCTTGAACCAAAAAAAAAAAAAAAAAAAAAAAAAAAAAAGCAAAAACTTGAAATATAAGGAACAGAAATCAAATACTAGAAATATTTACCAAAGCAAAAACAATCCCCACACACCCACAAAAAAAATCTCAAAACCCCAATTTAAAAAAATCCAATCTCTAATAAAATTGCAAATTGACGATACAAGAAATGATTGGATTTGAATCAAATTATTAATCAGTAAACTATGAAATTGAAGTGTACACAGTGATGCACCTCAGACATGACTACAAAGAGTTGTGTTGGGGTAAGAGTAAAGTTGAAAGATAGGAGGAGATTTGGGGGTACACGAAATCAAAGCAGTAGCCAAAGGGTTTTTGTGAGAGAAAATGACGCAGAGATAATGATAAAATGACAGATGGACACACCTTTTTTTTTCCTCTCTAATTTTCCTATGATTTGTTCAGTGGGCCACCTTAATCTTGAAACGAATGGCACCGATATGCTTTCTTCAGATTCTCGATTCCCTGGGCTTTCGCCTTCTCATTGCATAGTGACAGTCCATTGACTTATTGGGCCTTGGATATTAGGCCCAATTATCTATTGTTCTTAAAGAGAAAACAGAGTAGGAACGACACCAAGTAGCCACTCTAAAGAGCTGCTATTTAGGAATTAGCCAATATATTCTGAATTCAGTTTTCCAGTACAAATTTTTAGGATACAAATATTTTAAATTTATCCTGAAATTAAGATCTTTAGTTGAAATTTTCAGGATAAAATAAGTATTAGCTAATTGCTAAATAACAGCCCAAATAATGGTTGGTGGTATACATCCCCTGAAAAAGGATGCTCCCTGTCTATGAATTGGATTTGATGACAAAAGTAGTCTCTTTACTTTACGTTAATGCATTTTATGAGTTTTTATGCATTTATGCATTTTATTACTTTCTTTAATTTGAGTTTAATTAGCGATTGTGTTGTGAGAGATTAATGGTAAAAATCCAATTATTGCCTTTTGACTTGCCCTTGTATTTGCAACAGGAAGCATCTCTCTTGAGGATACTATTAGATCATGGTTACAATTAAATGGTTCTTAGAGTTAATTTAGGATTTCTTTAGTCTAAATTGGTCATAGCTTCTAATTTATTGTGGTTCTAGCTTCTATATTTGATTCGGTATTATCTTCATATCCGTTGCGTAGAATTTAATAGAGATGGCTGTTACGCAAAATATTACGCAGATTTTTGAACTCTTTTCACCATAAATTAATCGTTATGATACTAATTATAACACAAAAAATCAGAATATAAACTTACATGTCTTTTTAATAAATATCGAAAAAAACATGCACGTGTGACTTATTTTAATAAATCATTTCTTGTCTAAATACAACATATTGGCTAATAGGTCAGATGGTGTAACAAAAACTAAAGCAACTCTAAATACTTCTTATAAATATTCTCTAGCTACTCTCTCTCTATATATATATATTAGAATCAACACTTAGACATGCTATGGTAACTTTAAATGTTGTGGTAATTTGTAGGATGATGTCGTGTGTGTATATATATCCTCATTTTATATATCGAAAACACTACTACAACTAGTTAATTTCGAAACACACAAGAAGCTTCACAAGGTCATGATCATTTGCGTTAATTAGTTAGTAGCTCGGCGCTGAAGTTTTATTAACCCGCTTCGAAAGAGGTGAGGACAATACAATCGAATGAGATGGTCGAGGGTGAAAGGCATCCCCTCGATTTTGTTCACGAAGTAACGGATCAAAATAACGATCCGCCAAAAAGAAGAATGGATCTAGCCTGAGGTTATTTGGTATTGACGGCAGAAATCAATAATAATAGGGTCGAGGGGACCTAACGTGAAAGGATAAGTATACAGACTTAAAAACCCTTTCACGTAAGTGGTGATATCTTCTTCAGGAGACGAGATTACTATTTCTTTGTTCTCCCAATTGCAATCTTTCTTTAGCTGTTTGAGGTGCCCCTTGGTTATCGAACACATATACCTCGATACTAGCTCACATCGGCCGGGAACCGACGAGCCTTTGTTGACCTTAAAATCAGAGGTAAGAACACACACCCCAGGAACGCACTCCTCGGACCGTGGCTCCACCGGTGTTTTGTCGACGGCAGGCTATGAAGAAGAAGCTTTTGCTTTCTGAGGAATGATTTTTGATGTTTTCGCCATTTTGGATTTAAAAATCGAAAATAGAAGAAGGTAACAAAGATTCAGTATTTTTTTAGAAAGATTTTTGCAGTAAAAAATCACAGATTTACAGATGAACTTACAAGAAGAACTTGGAAAATTTGGAGATTGAAGATGTAAAAGTGATAATTAGTAAAAGGAGAGGCTATTTATAGATTGAGCAAATGGCGATTCAACATCAGCGGTGGTCGACCACCGTCTGACACGCATTAAATGCCTTGAAAAACTGAACCGACGGGACAGCTATCACGTACGTCATGGTCGGGCTCGATGCGAACATCAATGCATATCCAATCGAGTCGTTGGAAAATCATATCGTTTCTCGCCACATCCTTCCCGAGAAACGAGGGGACTATCTGTATATGGTCGAAACTGATTTCGGCCTTCGTACGACTGATCGAGGTAGGATCATAATGGACCGAAGAAAGTATTCATAAAATCGAAATGGATCCGAAGATGGCACAAACGAGCTTCAAATTTCAGGTACAAATCAAATACCGAGCTCGAAGTCATTATCGAGCTCGGGTCCGAATCGAACTATGATGAGATATGATGGAATCGAGCTTAAAGGCCAGAGGCCAACCAATACCGAGCCCAAGTCATTACCGGACCCCGAGTCAGCATCGACCTCAAACCCGCGTCGAGCTCCAAAGCTGGAAACCGACCAATATCGACCAATACCGAGTCCGATCAGGATCGAGCTCATAGACAAGAGTCGTTGCAGCCGCAATAAGGGAGAGAATCTCGATGGGAATTAGGGAAAAACTAATTTATCATGGGTTCCCCACTATGTATTTTTAATTATATCTAAAGTAGGATCCCCCGCTATAAAATGGATGGCTATATTTCTGTAAAAGGACAAGTTTTTGACATACATTGTAACTCAGATATTATACACCCCTCATATTGAAGAATTATCCTTTTTAGCTTCATAGATTGATTCATCTTGCTTAATCCATAAATCATCCTCTTTTCAACTTTGCTTATTTTTCATTCTTTATAGTTAATATTCGATATTTCTATTTACTCTTAAGATTTGTGTCAAGTTATACCATATACCCTTAGAACTACGTACAAATTCAACTCTATCCATTTTTCGAGTAAACAGTTTGGCGCCCACCGTGGGGCTAAGGATAACAGTAGTTATTTGATACGAATATGCAAAACACACAATTTTACGCTTGTTGTTGAAAGTGTCTTTGATTTCGGATTAGCAACAACGAACTCTCAATTAATGGCCTTACCTATCGACAACGAAGTTGGCCTTCAAGGTGAGAACAACAACTTGACTCCCAGGGCCGAAAGGCCTCTTGTCGATGTCGTTGGGGCCCGAGTCGAAGTACCATTAGACATTAATTCGCATGTGGCTATTGAGGCAAACCAACGTTCTGAACCTGAAAATAGTGCTCATGATGGTACTCGATCTGCAGCTCGAGACACCCACAACGTTACCGAAGACGGAATCATCTTGCATATAATTTTTGAAATATTGCAAGCTCAACATGTAGCGATAGCTCAGTTGCAGAGTCAAACCTATGTGCCGAGCAGACCATAGCCCAGTCCACCCCGAGAAATCACCCACGGAACGGAGCCAGCTATATTAAGGTCAAATGAGAAAGAATCGGGGACTAATCCCGAAACTACTAAGATGTTCGAAGAACTGACCAAACGAATAAAGTGAGGAGAAAGTAGGATCGAGGCAAATAACAAAAAAATGGAAACGTATAACTCCAGGGTTGATCATATCCCGGGGGAACCACTGATATTGAAGAGCTTAGATTCCAAAAAATTTACCCAAAAGACTTTCCCCCCGAGCGCGGCTCCTAAATCGATCCCAAAGAAGTTTTGCATGCCCGAGATTCCTAAATATAATGGAACGACCGATCCCAATGAACATGTCACCTCTTACACACGTGCCATCAAAGGGAATGATCTAGAGGACGATGAGATCGAATATGTATTATTGAAAAAATTTGGTGAAACCCTGACAAAGGGAGCAATGATGTGGTATCATAACTTACCGTCTAACTCTATCAATTCTTTTGCTATGCTTGCAGATTCTTTCGTAAAAGCATATGCTGAGGCCATAAAGGTCTAGACCAGAAAGTCAGACATATTCAAGGTAAGACAAAAAGATAACGAAATGCTAAGAGAATTCGTATCTCATTTCCAAATGGAACGAATGGATCTACCACCAGTCACAGACGATTGGGCTGTTCAAGCTTTCACTCAAGGTCTAAACAAACGAAGCTCGATGGCTTCACGGCGGCTGAAGTATAATTTGATTGAGTACCCAGCTATTACTTGGGCCGATGTGCACAATCGATATCAATCCAAAATACGAGTCAAAGATGACCAGTTGGGTTCTGGGTCCGTTATTAAAAGGGCTACCAACCAAAGGTCGATCAGAGACCGATACCAGCCGTATAGTGAAAATCCTACAAGCTCGGTGTGATAAAATGACAATCAACTACCAAGAAATTGAAACGTGCCACGCCTAAAATGATATTACTGCTAAGGTACGACCCACTCCCTCCCGTTCAATTATATTTCGAAACTAACCCTTGCAGGTGTTCGACCAAAAACGGACGGATTATTCAACTCGAAGCCTTTAGGCCAGAGAGCAAGCACTGCACTCTTTTTTCCTTAGACCGGTTTTTGTCCCAAATGGTTTTTTCGGCAGAGTATTGGGGGACATTGTCATTGAACATATCAACGATGATTATCAAGTTCGGTGCAAAGGAAGTTACTTCGTTATTTCATGGCAACAGTGTCTCGACATGAAAAATTGTAAGGGCCAAATGGTCAAACGATCCATGCCCATGTAGTTAGCCCGAGCATTGACACAAAACATGAACACATGGGCTACGAAGAAAAATTTCTTCTTTACCATTCGAGTTCGAGCAATCACTCACTCGACCGTTAAGCCTACGGGCTACATTACTTCGAGTTCGAGCAATCACTCACTCGACTATTAAGCCTACGGGCTACATTACTTCGAGTTCGAGAAATCACTCACTCGACTACTAAGCCTACGGGCTACATCACTTTAAGTTCGAGCAAGCACTCACTCGACTACTAAGCCTAAGGGCTACATCACTTCGAGTTCGAGCAAGCACTCACTCGACCATTAAGCCTACGAGCTATATTACTTCGAGTTCGAGCAATCACTCACTCGACTACTAAGTCTACGGG